CCCCCATGGCACCGCAGCCCGGCCATGGCACTCTGTGTCCCCCCCGCCCCAGGGCAGGGTCCGCCCGGCAGCCGCGCTCGGGTTACCGGGGGTAAGCGGACACCGCAGCGCCCGCCGCACACCTGGCGTCCCCGCGGGCCCCGCACCGCTCCCCAGGCACCTGTAGGGAACAGCGCTCGGCCCTGTCCCCCCCAGAGCGCAAGGGCAGCTGAGCCCAAACCCCCGCACAACAGCTCCGTGGGAGCTGTCGCTACAGCTTCCCTACCCGCAGCGCACCAAAGAGCAGCTGTGCTACCGCCCATAGGAACTGCTGCTGTAAGTTCGCTTCTTTCCGCTTAGACTGACTGCAGCGCGGGGGAAGCATCTTATTTTATGAAGCTGACAAGAGTGCACATTACTTCAGCGTCAATTAATTGCATTTTATCTGATTAAAGGGGATGAGAAATAGATTTTCAGAAGTTTAGCGATTTTTCTCTGGGGTAGAGGTTGAAAAAACACATGATGGTGGGGAGGTGAAGTGTGAGAAATTTTATTTTGTTACTTCTTTGGTTTTTAACTGAGGTTAAATTCTCGTACCACCATTGGCCCCATTAACGGAGGGATTAACAAGCACAGTTACCTTGCACTGAGCTCAATTCTTTTCCCATTGCTTTTGGCATTTGTCAGGGGGATGGTTCTGAAAGATCTACAGTAGGTACAAGACAAATATATCTCATTCTCAAATTTATTTTAAGTGTATTAAGTATTTAAGTGCATAAAATAATTACTACTCATACGTTACAGATTTTGGTCCATGTAATAATAAACGCTCTATCAAAAATTGAAGAAGCAATGGTATTCTACATAAACTGGATATGGAGACTACAAAAAAGTATGAACTGTCAGACTGTATGAAAACTGAGATGAACAGTTCGTTTTCAGATGAATTAGGTTGTATCACAGATGCAACGGAGGAGGAACAAGATGACTTACCTTACGATGGAGACATAGGAATAACCTGTAAATACAGTAATTCAGATAATTTGAATGACTGCACTTGTGGAAAAGCTATTTCTGGTATTTTAAACTTAGCCTGTTCTGAAGATAACAACATAAAAGCAACAGCAAAATATGAAACTCATCCACAGCTTGAAGAATTCCCCAGTCACTTTAGAGGTGCCACAGGATTAACAGCAGCTTCAGTTGAAACGCCTGGAAGAGAAGCCTCCTTTAAGGAGGAATTACGTGTTGGTGGTTTTAGTGAACCAGATGGCAAAGAACATCCACCTAACTCAAAAATGTCCAATGTCTTTCTGCATTATTTTTCTAAAGGAGAATTAATAAGCACACACCAGTTAATTGAATACGAGACAATACCAGAGACATCCATTACTGAAAGTATCAATGACACTGTGAACAAACCTGAGCCTTCAGAACACGCCCAAGGCCCTGCAGTGCATGAACAACAGGCAGCCAACTTTGAAGAGGACTACTCAGAAATGCAGGAGAAAGTAAACACTGGTGATAAAAATCAAAATTCTCTACATGAAAATAGATGTGTCTCAAAGAAACCTATTTCTTCTACTGGTAAGCGTGTGGGCAGACAAGACAATTCACAATTGATCTATGAAAATGAAGATACACACATCTTTCAAAACATGAAAGAAGAGAAAGACCTGCTTAAGAAAACAGTTTCACCTCACGAGCTCAAATATGACCAAGGTCAAGCTCACTATTGCCTTGCTGACTTCTCCAAAGCTGCTTCAGAAGTTAAAGTACCAAAAAGAAGTGACAATATTAACTCAGTTCCTACAATTGAACAACCAAAATCCTTCCCTATTTTGCTAAGTAAATCACTAAAAGTGAACAACATTCTAGAAAATAAGTACTTCAATTCTGCTCACATCGAGAATCAAGAAGAAATGAGTCCAGAACTGTTGCAACAGCTGGCGGTAATTAAGATGTTTTAAGCAATTCTTAATACTTGGTAGAGTAACATTTACCAGAATAATATATTTTCTGTGTCCAGTAAAATCTAACATGACTAGTTCATGCAGGCAGTCTATAGGTACCAATAAGTATATCACTTTAGCAAACAATTGCTTTCACAAAATTCTGTGGGACTGAATTTATATGGAACTTCCATTACCAAATATTTAATTACGCTCTTGAGTTGGTAAATTTTGTCTCAAGTTTGTTATTAATTAGATAATCACTTTGCAAATTCATGCCCTGACATGCAGTTCGCTCAGAGCACTATACAGAGGCTTAAGTCCATTTCTAGATTTACATCTTTGTAAGTAATTTGAGATACAATTTTTAATTGTTTTTCCTCTATTTCCCGGCTGCAAACAAGATGCTTACACATCATGCTGACACCCAGAAACATACTGACCATATGAGATTGAATCCTAAGGTAAGTATCACAAAACAGATTTTTTTGTGTATTTAATTCATTCTTCTTTACCTCAAGGACTATAATTATTCTCCAAAAATACTGTCACCTTCATATTGTACTTCCCACTTATACAAAACCTCTTTGTATTTTCACAACATAGAGTTGGAAATATTTAATTACTTACTTAGTGAGACACTATACATATATCAAGTTATAAACAGAAAATTACACAGTACTGCTATTGTAGACATAATTATTAATAATTTGTCCTATGCATTCTTAATTATTTCTAAAATTTTTGTTTATGTCCACTAGTGTTCTTTACATTATTTCTGTAACCAAAGTTCCCATTTTAACAGGTACTTCCTCAATTACATTTTTCAAATGGCATTGACATTAACTCAGGAGACACTGGGACATCCTCTGAAGTCTTTGCATTACATGCTCCTATCCTTCCACAATCTACATATGGTTTGTATACAGCAAGTAAATAAAACTACAGTAACTGTGCAAATTATGTAATTTGATAGCACTTTTGAGCAGACATTTTGGGCAGACATTCCAATTGATTTATATTATCTTGTATTCTTTAGGATTACAGTGTGGATCAACAGCATCAGCATTACCAGTAGAAGCACACTGTCTAAATCCTTCCAATTTTCTGCCAGAGCTCACACTAGGAGAAAAGATGTCCCAAATGCTAAAGGATCTGACAGATCAACTGATAAAGGAAGTAAAGAACTCTCTTTCAATATATACTTTGCAGTGATGCTCAAATCCTGTATTAATTTGGCATAAGCCTTTAAAATCCCAAATAAAAGCGTAATATTTTGTCTTGAAGGTGGAAGACTTCTCTAAGCATATGACCCAAGAGACATTCTTTTTACAAGACAACTATCCGGTAAATTATGTTTTCAGTTATCATCTGAAATGCACTTGAAATAGCTGTAGACTCACAATTTTTTATCAAAATACTGTCATGTTTTCCTCAAACAGATGTTTAAAAGTACACTTTCTCAATACCAGACTGAAATAATGAGTTTAAGAGGCATAAATGAAGGCATATAGTAGGCAGCTGAATTGCTAAATCTGTTTTAAGGATTAGAACTCAAAACTATTTGTGAAAGGCCTTAAGTTGCCACATAAGTTATGAATTTTGATATCTAAGATACCAGTTCAGAAGTTAAATATTTTACTTGCACATATTAGAACAGCACAGAGCACTAACTGGACACAGAAGATGCAGTACTGGTCCAATTCAGAGCAGTAGGGAAATTCTAACCAGCATCACTGCAAATAGCATCTGGCTCACACAGCATAAGCAGCTATCACTGTGGCTTGGTAAATCATAACAGCATTTGCAATTCAATTATTTCTTATTTGGTGAAGGCATTAAATCAATTGAAAAGACACCTTGATGCCTTGGAAAGGAATTACTTAACAGCTAGAGAACAACACCGTCATTTACAGCTGCAGAACTACAAGGACAAGTCTATCAATGTCGGAGAGTTCGATCCTGAAAGGTTAGAAGTGCTAAGTAGTACATCAGGTATTTTTCCATATTTGTAGCATCTTACAACCACTACTTAATTTATCCATTTGAATTTTTCTGAAGTGAAAACATTATCTTAATGTTATATATTGTAAGCTAGAAGTGATTTGGCCAAAATTAATCTTGGGCTTCACATATCCTAGTTATAACAAGGATATCTCATTTATTAACTCAGGTTCTTAAAAGGGACTCAGTGAACTCCATTAATTTACTTTTTCCTATGGGAAGTGTATGGTAATGCCCCATGTGGTTATCACAGTAAGAAACAGAGAATCTTTATACAAGTCTCACTAACTGTGTATTGCAATTGGATTTAGAAAGGTGGAAGGGGAAATATTTAGACTTGGCATGCTGCTGGATGACATCCAAGAACAAACTGATGACAGCAAATCCAACTTGTCATCTTTGATTACTTCCTATGAATCTGCCCATTCATCATATTGTCTTTGTGAGGTAACTCAGCAAGTTTTATTATTTAAAAACTATATTATTCTGGTTTATTGATGCAAGTCTCTAGAACCTCAGTGTGGCAGCACTATTGTTCTCTCTATTAAGAGCCATGTTACTTCAAGAAAATGTTGGGGTTTTTGCTCTTGAATTATTAGCTTGGTAATATTTCACTAATTAGAAATTTCACTAATTAGAATTTCACTTAGAAACCTAAGTACAAGAACACAGTTACACCGAATACTCTTAATCTCAGCTTCAAAAGCATTTCTTTCAAAATAGTAAAATATGAGCAGCTACTTTAACTTTTGCAAAGCTGTGTTTGATTTTAGAATTAATCAGTATCATTTAGTTGGAAGAAATATTACTTGGTTTGCCCAAGATTCTTAAAATACAGAATTACTAGAAGACCAAACACTCCTGTTCTATAGAAAATGGAATTTATTGCTAATTATGGTAAACTTTTGTCCTGGATCATAAACACATTTAAAAAAATCTTATGGCCTTCTACAAATCTACCAAATGCTTTCATAGTCAAGGTTTTATAAAATATTTTTCTCTGAATCGCAAGTTAGAGCCACTCAGAAAACACTGGCTTGTATAAGTCATTTATTTGTAATGCAATGACCATATACTAGAAGTATCTATGCTGTGGTTACATTCTACAGAGCTCAGAAGTTTCAAGTCCTGCTGGTCCTCCAGAAGGAAGAGGTATTGGAACTGCATTTGTTCACAAGAACAAGGAAGAAGCAAGTCAGACAACTGATGTAATCCCACAGACAAATCAGTTGTCTTTAAAAAGTGCTAAGTGCAATATTTGTCTTCACATGTAAGTGAAAACATTGAAACAGCTATTGCAGTTTTTGGTGTTGTTTTTTTTTTTTAATTTACCTACAATAATTTGCTGAATATAGAACACTGAGATGTCTAGAATCTCTGAAAGCCATGGAAATATTTTCAGCATAAAAGTTTTAAAGAATTCTAGAACTACATACCCAATAATTCCTTCCAGCCTGGCATTCCTATCTTTCAGGGTCACATGGACCTCTAAGTATTTCCTGAAGCCAAAACTCTACCATCAATTTCACTAGGAACAAAATCATACCTCTGTGTACTGCAACCACACAAATTCCAGATATGAGTAACTAGCCAAAGTACAGTGCCAGTAAAAAATTGAGAATATTTGTGTGATATTTTTAATTAAACAAGAAAAAGGGGGGTTGGGGGGGGGATGCAGACATTTGCCCCATGAGCCATGAAAACTTTGTGAAACAATTCTAGATACCATCCCTGCCCTCTTAGGGAGTGTTTCATAGGGTTAATCATCTCAATTAGATTAGAAATATAAAATGGTTACCCCTAACCAATTAAGGTTACCAAAGAGAGCTGAATCAACTTCCAGAAGACAAATGGAACCTCTAGGAAAAGGAAGACTGCTAGCAAACAAGCATTCATTCAAGGTAATGGGATGAGAACTGTTTCCATACTCCCTTTTTCTTTTTTTTTCAAACTTATCTTATTCAAACTTATCTTATTCAGCTTTGAAATCACAAAACATTTTTCTCTTCAGTCTTGGCACAGAATGATGGCTCAGCTTTTGAGATACTACAGCATCACAACATTGCTCAATTGGTTTCCAAAATAAAAATTTAAGGAATGACTCTCAAACATTTTTTAAGTTCGTAAAATATGTTGCTTCTCTCAAGAAGGCCTTATCTGTGTTTACTAGGCTGCCTTCATTATTTGTTCAGAAAGCAAAAACCTACAAGCAATTGCTTGCCTACAAAAATATTTAATTTTAAGGCACTGAGATATATTAATTATATACACTAATCCATCTCAAAGCAACATGAAAACTCGTCTTGAATTCAATCTTCACAAACATGAAAGTGCACATATTTTGTCCAGTCTGCTTTACAGTTAAGAGTTGTAAATAGATAAATTGTAGAGTTGATAGCAAGTAAAAACAATATAGAAGTGATATGCAGATGATGCCATTGCTCCCACTATCCTGTTTGATGTGTACAAAGGAATTAAAACCCATAAAAATTGTTAATGTATTATTTTAAAAGTTGTATTGCCTTCTGGGTGCAACAGAGATTCCATTCACCTGAAGAAAAACATGCTGCTGAAGGTCTTGCATCTCAATGTCAGTGTAGATTACATCAAAAATGTAATGCTGATGAAGAAAGTATGGAAGGGTAAGTGTATTATGTATTTTGGGGTAGTCACAGATGTGGTTATCTACAGTTAAGTGAACAGATACATGCATGTAAACTGGTTATGTCTTCATACTGGACTCTGGATAAACACTGAATTATGTCTTTAATACATGTAAAATGAGAGGATGATCTGTTTTCAAGTCTAGCACCATAAGGTATGTGATATACCAAACCACCAGAAAAATGACAAAACTATCATTATATTCATATTAAAAGAGGGCCATCTCAGTGGACCAGTGTAATGCTTATGGTGCTTAAGTCAATTATTTTAATAGTGTTAAGAGTAGTAGCTTTGTCATTGTTCTCTATTCAGCAATGCATGTCAGCATCCCAAACTGGCCTTATTGCTAAGGGTTTAGCAATGAAAACATTTTAAATTATCATTGTCATGAACTATTCTAGTAGGCCCAGGAGAGCATACTGATACACCTACATATATTTCAAGTGTAAGGGTCAATCTGAAATGTTTAGTTTACAGAAAAGTCAGTGTGATAAAATAATTCTACATGGATTACTTAGGAGTTTTGAAATTTTAGCAAATTAAATTGCTATCCAAAGCTGGATCACACAATATGTGCAGTGTACAATAACATTAATCTAAGCATGTTATTTTATAGAATAGACGTTAATAAAAATAAAACTCACCTAGCTTCCTCTAATCATCTAAAGGCAGTAAAATTAAAACCTTAATAGCTCAAAGTTGCTAAGAAACTACATAAGCCCTCATATTGATAGTATTTTTATGCAACATATTTTAATATTATAGGATTTCAAAGTGCTTTACAATCTATAGATGTGATAACCAAGACCTTTACTTTCAGGCATGAAATCTGCTACATCAGGGTCTTTCTGTCAAAATGTCTTCTTTAACTAAAGGGGTGATTATTTTCCATCTGGGTGATTTTTTAATGTCTGCTTCTACTTACCAGCTTTTTAGAGAACTGGTACAGGTACAGTTCTTTCTATTAATAAATCTGATATTTCCTCCTCAACTAATGGCTCAAACATTAATATAATATGTTCATGAAGCTTGTTATTAAGGTACTTAGACCTATTCTCTTTTCATGCTCAAAGAAATGCAAGCATCCAGGAAAAGAAAACAGCAACATGTTCACTCTTCGTTCAGAGAAAACCAACTGATTTATCAGATACTAACCTGAGTAAGTAGTGAAGGCATAAAAGGTGAGAACTGTGCTTATGCCTACTATTGAGTCCTGTTAAGAAATATATTCTTGTCATGTCTCAGCAGCATGAAAATTGTTTTGTAGTTTTAACAGATTTTACTGCTTAGCACAGCACAAGGCCCTAAAACAAGACTGAAGAGGACATCAAGTCAAATTCACTTTGGATGTCTCAGTGACAAACCAAGAGGCAACAGACAAGCTGCAACAGAATTTGCCATTAGATATGAAGAAAAGATTTAACTCTGGGTCTAGTCAAACACTGAAAAAGTTTGTAAGAGACCATGTCATCTCCATCCTCAGAGATAGTCAAAACTCAACTGGATGGAGTCCAAAGCAAGTTCATCTTGTAACACTTCAACTTGTAGGAATTTCAGCCTTTAAAAACCCAAGGACACGGAGATGGAGAGCTTAATTTAAAAAAAAAAAAAAAAAGCACCAGACAACAAAAACACCCAAACCCCCATCTTTCCCCCAAAAAAAAACCCAAAACCACAACAAAACCCCAAACAGTTCTGAGACTGGAAACACCAACCATCAAAAAACCCCAGATATATTTAAGGGCTGAAAGCAAGTCTTTATAGTTAAATCCCCACCTGTAAAATTATTTTCAATTTGCAGTCATGTTAATGGCACCAAAAGGCGCAGAAATTATGGTGCTGGAAACCAATCAATTACCTATGTACACAAACAAAAACTTCTAGTATTTCAGACTTTTTTTTTTACTTATTTATTTTAGGCAGTGATTCAGAAGACATCTCAGCCTATGATTCTTATAAGAATTCACAAAGTGAGGAACTTGACAACTGTGAAAGTTACAGAACATTAAATACAAGAATATGTGGAGAGAGAAAAGGTAAAATGATTGCAAGAATATTATAATCTACACAAAAGTATTCTTGTTTATAGTTTTTGTTCTTCTCGACAACATGCCTTTGTCTTCAGGATTTAGATGCAGATGCAGATGCCCTGGAGGAAGCAGAGATCAGTTTAACCTAAGGAATTACAAAGAGACTGTTCAGTCTTGTGCCTTACGTAGAAATAAAAGTGCTGGTTCTTCCTGTAAGTATGGTGTGTTATTGCAATAATTAACAATCACAGGCTGGCTTTTAAAGGGCAGAAATCCACACTTAACATGTATCAGGCCAAATTTAATCTAGTATAATCAATTAGTAGCATTGTAGCTAAACAGTGCATGTGTATAGGTCTTGTAAAGCAAGATCAGCAAATCCAACATGTAGCCAAGTTTCATCCTCATACATAAAAGCTTTAACCTTTTCTGGTGCTTAACGAGAGGAGTACCTTCCATTTCATTTATGACTGGGAAACAATTTTGCAGTGCCACATGGAAGAACATTAAGATTGGGCACTACTGCACCAACTTTTTCAGTGCTCACTGTTACCTCATGTAAACAAGTACTGAAGAAAATTCCCGCTCTACACTCAAATTGTGTAACATGCAAATTCAAGGAAAGCCTAATTAAAAAAAAAATGCTGACCATCTAGCTTTTAAAGTCACTTATATCACACTCCTCTGTCTATAGTGCAGGAAAAAAAATGCACACAAAAACACAGGGTGAAGTATAAATTAGCTACTTCTCTAAATAATGTAAAACTATAAATCAAAGTAGTATGCACGAAATTATTAGGATTATGAGTCTGATGTGTCTACAATTCCCCCTCCAGTCTTTCACTGTGTCAAAAATACAACTCTGCATACCATTTGTACAGAAAAATTAAACAACAAACTCAAAAAAGTTAATTTGTCCTCATTTACAAAAAAATCTTAAATATATTTCAGCAGTGATAGTTATTTGATTTTTTAGTTTATGTTAAATAGAGAAAAATGTTAAATACATAAAAAATAACTTGGGGTGGGGCTTTTGTTTTAAACATGACCTCAACTACTCCAGCTTATTTACAGAGGAGAAAATCCACTCAAAAGGCTCAAACAAGTAAACAGCCAAGTGAACTTGTAAACAGACTTTCTGAAAGGTAAGCTGTCACAATAACTATACAGAGTGAAACAGAAAAGATCATTGTTAAACATTCAGCATGGAAAAAACTTACCAGTACACGAGAGGAATGTTTTATCTTTTGCAGTGCATGCTATATATTACAACTTATTTAACCTAAGAGCAAGAGTAAGTCTTAAGAGTAGGTCTTAAATCTTTCTAATTTACTGAAGAATCAAGATCTCACCTCTTGGTGACATATTTGCGGAAAAAGTTACATCTCACTTTATTATGAGGATGTTCCCGTTCACAGATTCAAAAGCACATCTGCGTTCTTTAAGATGAAACTCTGTTTGCTACAAACTATTTCTTTGTAAGTAACAGTCCTGCTTTTAAGTGTTGTTAACATTCATTTATGCTGGGAGTCTGCAACAAAGTGGATAGCACAGATGAGACTGAAACTCAGGCAAGTTTTGTTACCGTTGTTTTTTGACAGCATTACTCAACAGCAGTAATTGTCCAGAAGTACAACAGCTGCACTTAAGAATTAATGGCATAGACCCCTCTGAGAGAGAGGGTTACAGCTCCAAGAACACAGTGATATCAGTGATATCATAAGAGATATCATCTCCTGACTGCACCCTGGAATGTTTTCTCTCTTCCTGCAATACTGATGTAATACAAATTATGATGGACTGTGTTTTACAATGAAATGAAAAATTCTACTTCCTGTAAAATTAACTTGTAACTGAGTATGCTATCAAGGTGGTTATACATATTTAGTTCATAGTTTAGAAATTATTCTACTTACTAAAATTGTTTGTATTTTATTGTTCAGGCAAAACTTGGAAGCTGCCAAAACCTGCTATTCAAGCACATATGATAAAATTATCCTTGCACATCAACACTTACCCAGCAAGAAGTCTGCCCAAAGCAAGTCCACGATCAACATCAGTAACAGAAATGCAGATTATTCCAATGCAAATGTAAGACTTTAGAGTGAAAATTAAAAGCCACACAACTATCTCAGGAAGAAGTAAATCTCCACATCATGGCACTGTTGAACAAACCTATTCTTAGCAAGTTGATTATTACAATCTAAGCATGTCTAGTTTGTTTGAAGAAAGGAGGAAGTTAAAAAACCAGTATTTTAGCTCAGATATTAATCTCTTACTTCATATGAGAATGTCACAGATTTCTTATGTAACTTAGTGCCTCTATAAATGGTGCAAGGGACAGGAAAGGAGCCCTCAATCTTACCTCTGGAATTATGTTTCATACACTAAAAGAACATCACCCTAGCCATACACACCATGATCAAAACCAAAGGAAAACCTTCTCAATACAACAAACATGCACCACACACTGGGGCTGCTACTTTAGAAAAGTGTAAATGTCCCTCAGTTCAAAGTATTACACAATTAAAGAGAGAAATAAGTAACAGACACTTCCAACTTCAATCCTGGAGCAGTGTTATCTATCACATAACTCAATTTTTACTTCTCAACATGAAAACACTACACAGAACCTCAATTAAATTTTACTTTCTGTTCTATACCTATGTGAAGACTTGCCTTTGGTATTAACAAGGCTATATTGCATTAATTCCAACAGATATTAAGTGCTACTCTGGATCATGCCATACGGACAGCAAACAGTTTGAAGAAAGCTACAGAACGAATGGTACGTACGGCTTCAGAAGATCTAGCTAAAGCCAGAAGAAAACAGTTTTAACTACCCCATTTCAAATGCTGTATCATTTTGCTGGTTGATACTGAAGTGTCGGTATTTCTGCAAATACAAAATACCAAGATGAGAAGCTCAGTTAGCTGCCTTTGCCAGCTGTTCTGTAACTATCATTATTAAATTAAACCAGAGCATATTTGTATTCTGCATGTTTACACTCAGAACTAGAAAACAAATTATTAATCTTACAAAAATCTTCAGTATGTTGGCTAACCCCTGTTACTGTGTACAGCTACCTTCTTTAAGTATTCACTTAAGACAGCTTAATCAAAACTAGCATAAACAAACAAGATGAACTTTCAGACTTCTGATTTCTCCCCACCCCCAAACAGAATAACTCTCAGTCATTACTACTTAGATTTTCTTTCCACACCTTAACAGCAGCTGCCTAAGTGCATAAACAAAGGGAAATAGACTCTGCACCAGATACATCTGTAGGCATCATGCTAACATAAGGAGTCATAGTTAATGTATGTAATTATTTTGTTTTTCAAGTGCCCGAGATTTAGAGCTATTTGAAGATACTTCCTTGCATGTCTCAGTAACTGAGTAATCTATTGTCTAGGTATTCGTAACAATTGTCTGTTTCTACAATCTAGCCTCCTTGCTTTGTCAGATGTATCCAGCTGGGAGGTTCTAGCTGATGGCAAGTTGGAAAATTTTGAAATACTGTATAAATACAGTGGGAAGAAAAGTATTTCATTATTACCCTTCTGAAATCCATTTAACTGCAGTAATTTAAAGCATGCAGCAATTAACAGCCTTGTATTATCAGAGATGCTATTCACTGAAGCAATACCAAAGTAGTTTAGGCTAATGGAAGTCATCACTTGAAGTGAGCAGTGACAGCACATTGCTTAAAAAGGACAGTAATTTTCAGATGAACCTGAGTGGTTTCATCAGATGATGGATACAGAAATAATCCAGGCTGTTCACACAAGCAGTGAGAGGTAAGCTTGCTGCTGTGTACCACTGACTCACTAGCCTGAGTCAGTGTCTTTTTTCAGAGCTTCTTCCACATATCATAGCCAACAATACTATTAACTTTTCTCCCTTTGACTCTTACTGTATATCCTTGTAACTCAATTTGCCTTATTATCCGTGTTTTTGCTTTATTTAGCTTAAGACAACTGCACAGAAGAGTGAAAGGCTCACTCTCTTGTGCTAGATTAATGTTTGGAGTGTCCCTGTTATTATTTTACAAATTAACTTAATAGTAGAAGTAACCACTGTAGGCTTCCTAGATCCAATAAAAAAAAGGTTGATCTCTTCCATAGAAATCCTTCTACACCACAAGAACAGATTAAGACTTTTTGTTATCCTGGATCACCATCTGAACCTGCTGTTCTGGGACTGACCGCGAAAGCCTAAGAACGAACATATTTATGACACCAAGTATGTAGTTATATTTCCTCAGCACATTCTCTGGTAAACTGAAAGCTCAGTCTTTTCAAATAAGCAGTAATACATTTATACTTACTAGCCCTATAAAGATTTTTTTCTCATCTATGTCAAGGTTTCACATACACACACAATTTAAAACACATCGTTACCACACAGTACGTCAGATACTGAAGGTCCTTTCAGTTCAAATTTGACAACTGCAAGTTTCATGTGTTTCTTTGCACACTGAACAGGAAGATAACGTGTCTCTTGCTTCAGTCCACACACTACACATCATTTTTGAGGCTTTCATCACATACTCCTCTCCATTACTTTTTCCCCCCCCATGATCAAGGATCCTATTCCAGTCATTCTTGACATGGAAATAGTTCCATACCTTTGATTTTTCTCTCAGTCATCTCTGAATCTTGTCCACATTCAACTTAAGAAACAAATAGCACTTGGAAATACATATCTTTCCCTTCTAGGTTAGTAAGACCACCATCTGCACTTATGTGAATCTGGACCCAAATGTGCAGGACCAGGAACCTATTTGAAAATGTGTAATACAAAAAAAGGAACTTTCAAAATTACATTATACATTGTACATGTACTCTAAAATATTAGGTTT